CTGGACCTCAGCTCCAGCTTCCCCCAGGATCTTTTGCCCCAAGCTCCCACCCGCCCCAGGCAGCCAGAACCCACCGCAGATCCATGACTCTCACCCCCTCCTGGTTCAGATCAGTTCCCAGGTGTGCGCGCCCTGCTGATGCCAAGCACCCACTCCCTCCATCTCCTCTTTCGCTTGCCACCTGCTCCTCAAACCCCTGCCAAGGGCTCCCTCCCCAGTGCTGCTCTTCTCAGATTCAGGCTCCACCCCATGGAGCCAATCCCACCCTCTAAGCCACCCACGACCATCCCACACAGACACACAGACATCCCAAGGCTCTCCCCTCGTTGGCCTCTACCCTGCTCTCTCTGCTCTCCCTCCCCTCCCTCCCTCCCATGTGCACAATCCCCCCACCCCTGCCCCCACACGGTCTCCAACCCTCAGGATCTCTGGTTCTGACTTTGTGGCTCAGGGCCTGGGATGTCACCGGGCATCCGGAGCCTGGATCAAGCTGGAAGTTCCTTAAAGTTCCAGGAGGTATCTGCTTCTGGCTCTGACTCCCCCCGCCTCCCGGGATGGGGCTCCAGGACTCGTCAGGTCTGGGATGGTTGGATGGTCTCAGGCAGCTGGCAGAGCGTGAGAAGACATCAGCCCTGTTGGACTCCCCTCCATTGCTCCATTTGGAGAACAGACGGGCTGTCCCCATTCTGGGTGGATGTCCACCTGCCAGCCCCCTCGGCAGCCTTTCCCTGGGAGGAGAAGTTACGACTCTGCGTTCTGATGATTCCTCGTTTCAGCCCCAAAGGACAGCAGCTCCCTTGAGAGGGCTGCTGGCCTCTTCTGAGAGCTCTGCTGCTGCTGTTTGAGGTTTGCCGGCTGCCACTGGGCAGGCCTGTTCTAAGCTCCCCGCTGGCCTCTCTCCTTTTGCCCGCCTCTCTAGTCCTCAGGGGCATGGTCCTCTGGTCCTCACTCAATCATCCACAGGGAAGGTTATAAGTCAGGGGCTGAAAATCAAAACCTGAGCATGAACCCTGAGGTGTCTCAGTGAGACGTCGGGCAGGAAGCTTTTTGCATCAGCCTGGGGGTCTGTGAGCCGAGCCTTCCCCAGCCCTGCTACCTCCTGCGGGTCTGGGCTGCTGGGGTGAGTCTGTGCTGGGGGAAAGCACTTGGATGTTCCCATGGATCGGGGCCAAGCATTCCTAAGATGCCAACTCTGGTACCCCCGAAATAGGACAGTGTGCATTAAAAAGTCAAAAGGCCACAAACCGGGAGATAATAATAAGCTTTTTAATGAGTTTTCATGCTTTGTGTGCAAAGACCAGTCAACCTACTCAGCCGGGCAGAGGTGCCATTGCCTTATAAGGAAGAAGCCTGCCCTCCCCAGCCCTCCTTCCAGCCATCAGCAAAAATGCAGAGCAAGCTTTTCCAGTTCAAAGGCTTCTGGGGCTCCCACGGCCCTCTCCTGATAGACACAAAGCAAATGATTAATCCAAGAGCAACTAAGGATTAAAGTCTCACTAGAAAAAAAATTTTAAGGAGAAGTGACGTGGTCTGAAATCAAGAGATCAGGTAAATTCTAGAGCAAAGTGGCCCAAACAATAAAGTTGGCCCATGTGGGTGATCCCCGAGTGCTTTCCTGGGCTCCCTTTCCCTTGAAACTCCACAAACCCAATAAGACCTTCTTCAGAGAAAATCAGACTTGCTGCTTGTGTTCTAGCCTTATTCAAATATTCAATGTTCCCCAAAATACAAGGATCTCCAAGGGATGCGCGAAGTATGGCTTATAGTCCTTTCAAAACAATCAAGTCAGCTTAGGCCTTGGTATTTCTCTTTCCTCTCTAAGGCCACCAGCTTCCTCCACCAAGTCTCAGGTACCCTCCCCTTGGACCATCCTCACAGACACCCACCCCTGGTCGGCTCCTTCAACCAGCCCAACGTCTCCAACGTCCCTGCTTCAATCTTTGGGATCCCGGGAAACACAGACTGGTGCCATCGGTCACTCGAACCAAGCATAGTGAGAAATGGAAATTAACCACACGGTCAAGGAAATGACAAAGCATATGGCTCCTTGGAATGGACGTGACACTGGAAATGGCTATCCGGGAATCACCCCCTGTCCACATACGCAAGCCACTGCTGCTCTCTGGGAACGGGGATATTAAGAAGAGACTGTATGGAGTGGTTTGTTCGTTGAAAATCAGAGCAGTGAGGACACACGAGCTTGGTTCTGCTTTTGCTTTGGGTGGGGGGACTTGCACTGGGGAATGGCTGAGTTCCGAACTGCCTCACACCACTCTCCTGCCCCATCTGTGACCCTTACCAGACCCCCTGTGTGCCTCTTGGAAATCCCTGCCCACTTCCACTTTGCTTAAAAATGGAGAGTTCTCCAAAGCGCCCACTCCTATTCTCTTGGTGCTATAGGGCAGAGATGGATAGCCAGGGAATGAGTAGGGTGGAGGCAGCCCTCAGAAGATGAGCTTTTGTTTTTGTTTTTGTTTTTGGAGAGAGAGAGAGAAAGAGCAAATGGTGGGGGCAGAGGGAGAGGGAAAGAGAGAATCCCAGGCAGGCTCCACGCTCAGCACAGAACCCAACACAGGGCTCAATCTCATGATGCCAAGATCATGACCTGAGCCAAAATCAAAAGTCAGATGCTTACCCAATAAGCCACCCAGGTGCCCCAAGAATGAGCTCTTGCATTAAAGATAAAGAAAACATCAGAGACAAAAAAAAAAAAAAAAAAAAAAGGGATCCCTGGGTGGCGCAGTGGTTTAGCGCCTGCCTTTGGCCCAGGGCGCGATCCTGGAGACCCGGGATCGAATCCCACGTCAGGCTCCCGGTGCATGGAGCCTGCTTCTCCCTCTGCCTGTGTCTCTGCCTCTCTCTCTCTATCTGTGTGATTGTCATAAATAAATAAAAATAAATAAATAAAAAATATTAAAAAAAAAAAAAAGAAAACATCAGAGACACAAAAACGTGTATATACACCCTCCCACCCCCATGAGAAAGGAAAGGCAGAGGGCCCACTCCCCATTCCATCCCCTGTTCTGTCCCAGGGCAGCAGGGGCCCCGTGAGACTCCCCTTCATCCTCAGAGCAGATCCGGTGGCCTTTTGAAGCTGATTTTACCTCCACCCAAACTTGGTGGGATCTAGACCATGGTGTGCCCAGCATGCAGCCCCTATAGGACCCTCTAAGGCCAGGAGGCAGAGACTAGGAGAGTAATATTCTAAGAAAGATCTTGGGGCTGCTGGGTGGCTCAGCGGTTGAGCGTCTGCCTCTGGCTCAGGGCGTGATCCTGGGGTCCTGGGATCGAGTCCCACGTCGGCTCCCTGCATGGAGCCTGCTTCTCCCTCTGCCTGGGTCTCTGCCTCTCTTTCTGTGTCTCTCATGAATAAATAAATAAAATCTTAAAAAGAAAGAAAGAAGAAAGAAAGAAAGAAAGAAAGAAAGAAAGAAAGAAAGAAAGAAAGAAAGAAGAAAGAAAGAAAGAAAGAAAGAAAGAAAGAAAGAAAGAAAGAAAGAAAGAAAGAAAGAAAGAAAGATAGATAGATCTTGGTCCTCCCAGGGCCCCAGGGAACAATGTGCCCCCTGAAGACACATTCTGAAAGCCTCAGGACTGCATTGCCCAGACAACTGTCCATAGCTTTTTCTATGTCTTGAGATCAAGTATGTACTCTTATGGCAAGATATTCTCTACCCAGTCGGGCTGGTTTTGAATCTTTCTTCTTAAATCCCAAATAAAATAAAATGGAAGAAGAGGAGCTCTTCCTATAACTCAAATGGAACAAACCTATCCATCAGAAAGCTCTCTCTGCACCTCAGCAGGAGGACACCCCTTGTTTGGAGGGGGCTCCAAACAGACTTCCCCAGGTGGGACTTCTCGGGGACCGTCAGTCCAGGAACGTCCAGGCCGCCAAGGAAAATGTCCTCCAACCAGAAGTCTGGGTTTTCCTTCTGGGTTCCCACATAACTGGCCTGTACTACCCGCCCCATAAGAAGATCTGTCCAAGATTCTTGGAGAGCAGAGACTATGGGAGCTGTTTCTACGAGCGTTCCAGGAAGTTCCTTTGTGCCATCTTGCGTGTTTTACTCCCGAAGTGTCTGACCAGCAAGCGGCATCAGTTAGAACACCTCCTCCAGGAGCATTCTGACGAGCCAGGGTGTCCCAGCCAAAGGAACAGTTGGCCTCAGACAGAGGCTGGACTAGCTGCGTGATGTCAGAGAAGTTACTTAACCTCTTCGGGTCTGAACTTCCTAATCTATAAAATGAAGATAAAATGCTGCTGCTGCTGCTGCTGCTCTGAGCCATGAATGAAATTCAGATATGATGTGCCAGACGCTTAGCAGGTGCTTGTGGATACAGGCTCCTGTGTCCTCCCCTCTTCCACCTTCACCTCCACCCCACCCAGGTGTGGGACACCCAGATTGGCTCGGGCAAAGTCAAAGGAGAAATGCGAGGAGGTGAACCTGATCCTGTGAGAGTCACAGAGGAAGTCAGCTCCACCGTCAGAATTACCTGACCCTCCCACTACCCCCCTGCCCACAGAATCCAACGGTTCTCGGCTTTAGTTCTTTTGGAATCACTTGGGAGCATGTTGAAGTTCAGATTCCTGGGACGCCCGGGCGGCTCAGGGGTTGAGCACCTGCTTTTGGCCCAGGGCATGACCCCAGGGTCCCGGGATCTAGTCCCTCGTCGGGCTCCCTGCAGGGAGCCTGCTTCTCCGTCTGCCTGGGTCTCTGCCTCTCTGTGTGTGTGTCTCAGGAGTAAATAAATCTTCAAAATAAAATTCAGATTCCCGGGTTCATCCCTGGAACTTCTGATTCAGTGGTTCTGGATGGAGCCCAGGATCTGCCTATATAAGAAGCCCCCTCCACCCGCCACCCCCAGGGACCCTGATGTAGGTGGTGTCCATGGACCACACCTGGCAGGAGCGCTGAGATGGTCAGGGCTCTGGGGAGGAGGAGGATAGGGCTGGGAAAACCGCAAAGGAAGCAGGCATTAATTCATTTACTAGGAGAAAATGTTTTACCATCAGTATTTAATCACACACACGCAAAGAGAGAAGAAGCCGCAACAGGAATTGCATCCCCCGCCGCCCCCCCAAAAAAAATCCAAAGCACCAACCATAAATAGCTCAGCCATTAGCTTCAGTCAAGCCTTTCCACCCTGACGTGTGCATGCCTGGGGGACACTCTTGGGGACACACAATGTCTCAGATCAGTGAGGGGCTTCCCGGACCCCCAGCCCACTTTCCCCGCAGCCCCCTCAGCGCCCAGGTGACATGCACCCACCCACAGCCGTTCCCCTACCCTGCCCCCTTCCCAGAGGGCCTGGCACACGGTCAGTACCTCGTAAATGCCTGCTAAGTCGAAGTTGGTTGGGAAAGAAAGGGGCCGAGCAGCTTATCTCAGAAAGCTGGGCCACTGGGAAGGGAGACAGGTGCAGGTGGCAGTAATGCCAGCCCCAGGGTTCGCACTTGAAGGTAAGTCATAACTGCTACAGGGAGGAAACTGGAGCGTTCATCTGGGTTCCCAGCCAGGGGAAAGTACCGCACGGACACTGAGGTCTGAGAGAGCGGTGACCTCCCCCCTGCACCTACCCCCGCCCGCCCGCTACGCAAAGCGCACGGATCGGGCACTGGAGCAGGCCCCCGCTACGGAGGGGGCACACAGGATGCCGCTGCTGGTGGCCACGCCCCCCAGGCCACGAGGGACAGTGGCACTGAGGTCCCCGCAGACCACGCCGCCCTGGGAACGGCTCACACCTGTGGAGGGAGACGCTGCGTCAGAATTCTCTTCCATCCGTGACATGACATGACCCAGACTTTTTTGGAACCAATGATTTACTCTTTTCCCATTCGGGGTGGGGGTTGGGGGCGGGGGCAGCAACATGAATCTTTACAACAGACATTCATCCAAACCCATTGCCGTCAACACCTAACTCTCCTTGAACCAGACTAATGTCAAGATGTGTTTATACAACCTTTGACCAAAGACGGATGGTCAAAGTGGAGGAAAAATCGAGAAATACGACTGCTGCAAAGATGAGAAGAACAGATAGACACCTGGCCTGGGGACTGCGTGTACATAGGATTATTAAAGATTCAACCTTTGCCCACAATGGCCCCCCAGGTGATCAGTTGCAGAACCAATTAGGGGGACAGAACCTGCCACGATCACTAGCTTGGGGTCCAGGTGGATCTGCGTAGGGGGCAAACATTTTAGACCTTCCTTTTGTCCAGATCCCAGAGACCTCAGCCCCCTTCTCCCCCACCCAGTGCCCCACAGACAGAGGTTCAGTCACCAATTAGCTGTAACCCAACATTAAGACCCAAAAGGATGATGCCCATGACGGACACCCAACTTACAGATATTGACGGAGCCCACGCCTTCACACAAGCTGCAGGGGAGAGAGAGAGTGAACATTGAGGACCGTGTTCCTCTGCTTCCGCTCCATCGGGCCTGTTGTGCCCCATCCGGAGAGAGGGGAGCAGAGCTGAGGGGCTGGGGGCCTGTTGCCCACCCTCTGCAGAGAGCATCGGTGTTGCCCCTGCTCCCAGGGATGCCAAAAGGACAGGGGAGTGTTAGGTTGCAGGACCCCAAAGGCCACTTTATGCCTTGTTTGCTTCTCGCCATGGAAAGCTGTACTGAAAGGTGGGCGTGGGTTACCGTGGGGGTTACCCTCCTTGCCCCCTGGCTGGACATTCCAGCACAGCCAAATAGGTGATGGGAGCAGCCACGGCCCGCGGGACGCCTCTGGGTAGGGAAAGGCTTGCCTCTCATTCTAGTCAATCGGTCTTTACCCCGTGAGTTCACACGCTCTCCCGGATAGGCACCCGATTTGATAAACGCAGAGGGAGAAGCAGGAGGGTATAGTGGTTAAGAGCCTGGACTCTGGAGCCAGGCCTCCTGGGAGCAAAGCTGGCTGAGCCACTTACTAGCTGGGTGACCTCGGTCTCCTCATTTCTGCAACGGGGATGATGATACCCAACCTTCCAGGATTGTTGTAAGCGCTACATTGCAAAGTGCGTGCAAGCGGAGCCTGGCCCACAGTACATCCACCGCGTTTGCTATGGACGCGGTAACCATCTCGTTAAGGGTGGGACCCGTATACCCCTGCGGTGGGCTCCTCCCTCACACCCACCCGCACTTTCGGTTCTACGTGGCCCTCTTTGGTAACGCCGGCTTCCGGCCCTTCGCTCCAGGAAAGCTCTAGTCTGATTCCTTCTGCCCGACACAGAGCACTTGTACACGCTACAGCTTTTCCGTGCGGATCTATGCTTCGGGCTCACTCTCCTGTCACGTGAATCTGACCCTACCACAGCCTTAGAACTGCGCCTTTCCAGAAGATTCTAGTCATGGTGCCCGTTGAGCCACAGTGCTGGCAGCAGCTAGCTGCTACGAGTTGAGGGATTACGGCCGCTTTTCTTATTTTCTGCCACGAGAGTTCCTCGTGTCACCCAATTAAACTTGTAAATGCCACGAAGAGAAAGTCTGTTAAAAGGTCAACGGCCACCATATGCAAAACGCCATACCCTAAATCCACCCTTTAAAATCCCATTGATTATATGATTGAGGTATTAATACACGAATGATGATGATTATGGCAACGGCAGTAAGCTTCACGGTGCAAATGCCTAACGCTTCACTGAAGGCAGGTGAGTGGATTGGGGGCTTACGGGTACAAAGGAGGAGGTAGTTCTGGCGGCCTGAGGACGTGGACAGGAGAGTTTACATGCTTTGGTCAAGTGTGGCACAAATCCAGCGGCATGGCTAGCTGCCTTGGGCGCCACACACATCAGATTTCTAAAGCTAACCTGGTTAGTAAGGAGCCTGTCCATGGCACCGCCCGGCCTGGCCACCCTGCATAGAGAGAGTCTTATTCTGCTCATAACCTGCTCCTACTTATGCTCTACTATGCACAGTAGCTCATTTAATCCGTGCAACAGCCTACAGTGGCGGGTTTTATGATGATCTGTTTTACAGGTGAGGAGGCGGAGGCACAGGGGCTCAGAGCTGGAAAGTGGCAGAGCTGGGATTTGAGGCCAAGGCCGAGCGGTTTGGCTCGCAGCCTGTGACCCTAACCTTTACGTTCCACCCCCCGTCTAGCCTGCTCCCCTGTGACGGGACCCAGCTAGGAGGCAGTAATGATGTATGCACCTCTGGGCTAAGGGCCCATCACCGCCCCAGGTGTAAATCCACATCGCTCCTTCCCTTGCTGACTTCACGGGCCCCGATTCTTGGCTCAAACCGTCGGCACAGCCTGATGTGCCCTTTCCTTTCCCACCCACTCAGCTCTGCTACCTCCTCCTCTGAGAAGCCTCCAACAGCTTCCCTGGGACACTAACCCCGGTCACCTGGAGGCCAGATTTATGTCCAGCTCTGTCTTTCCCTGCCAAGCAAGGATGCTGTGCTGCTCGTTTCCATTTGCTGGTCCTGAACACGGGACTCTAGGGTTCCCTGTCTCTGCATCCCAAATCAAATGGCATTTAATAAAGCTTCTGGACGATTCCAGCCTTTGCAACCCACTGAGATGTGACTGCAGAAACATCCTTTCAGCCAACAGGGCAAAGCAGCTGTGTTGGAATGAGCTTTAGGCACAGCCAGAGGGGCAGTGGAGGAGGGGAAAGATCACTGGAACGCTAACCAGGAGACAGGTGTCATGTAAGCATAGCCACGACCTAGCTGTGACCTTGAACAAGTTCCTCAAGGCCTCAGTTTCCCCATCTGTAAATGGGGAAATGGTTGGATTCCCGCGATTTCTGGAGTCTTTCTGGGGTCCTTCCCCGTGTGAGTGCTCTCTGCCTGGAGAATTAGAGTCCAGCAAGGTGCTCTTCGAGCCCTAAGGGGGGATGAGAAGAGACCCTGAGTCCCGCCCGTGCTCACCGGCTCTCCTCGCCCTCCAGCAGCTTTCGGTAGGTGGCGATCTCCACGTCCAGGCCCAGCTTGGAGTTCATCACCTCCTGGTACTCCTTGAGCAGGCAGGCCATGTCCTGCTTGGCCTTCTGCAGGGCGGCCTCCAGCTCGGCCAGCTTGCACTTGGCGTCCCGGAGGGCTGCCTCACCCTGCTGCTCCGCCTCCGCCACGGCGCCCTCCAGCTTGCAGCGCTGGGGAAGGAGAGGAGGGAAGGAGCTTGAGTGGGGTGCAGGCTGTGGGAATACTGGTGGGTCCCCCATGGCCTCGGTCAACCTATTGCACCTCCATCCAAAATGGTCAACTTGCAAATTAAGTAGGTAGGAAAATAATGACCTTTTGGAGCTTTCTTCCTCCATTTTTGTACGATGGTGGTTGTAAAACTCAAGTCTCCAGTGAGCCATTAAAGGGAGGAAATATTAGCACTGGAACAGGGCTAATAATAAGTAATGATATTATCTTACGTTTGTTTACTGTTGTGAGTTTACAAGGCATTTATGCAGATGTTACCTTACCCACCGCCAGTTACTCTGCGAGCTTGTCGGAACAGGCATGGCTATTCCCCTTATGCAGATGGAGAAATTGAGACTCAGAGAGGCTGTGACTTGCCCTACGCTACCCTGAGTCATTAGTGCCACCCCCAGATTTTCATAGGCCACTGTCTGGGGTCCCATTCTCTGAGCCACTGAGATCAGCGTACTGAAAGAAGTCCCCACACTGCCCCCACTTAAAGCAGAAGGAACCCAAAGAGACATTTCTCTCAAGAGACATATAAATGGTCCACAGGTACATGAGAAGATTGCTCAACGTCACTCATCTTCAAGGAAATGCTAATCATAGCCACAATGAGATTCACCTCACCCCTGCCTGGTTGGCTATTATCAAAGAAACAAGGTAAGTGTTGGCTAGGATATGGAGAAACTGAACCCCTTGCAAACTGTTGCTGGGAATGCAAAGTGGTGCAGCTGCTTTGGAAAACCATGTGGAGGGTCCTCAAAAAGTTAAAAATAGAACTACCCCATTGGGATCCAGCAATTCCACTTCTCGGCATTTATCCCAAAGAAGTAAAATCAGGATCTCGAAGAGATATTAGCGCTCCCATGTTCATTGCAGCACGATTCACCACAGCCAACACATGGGAGCAACCCTAAGTGTCTATCTACAGACGAACAAACAAAGAAAACATGGTATAGACATACAATGAAGGGGCGCCTGGCTGGCTCAGTGGTTGAGCGTCTGCCTTCGGCTCAGGCCGTGATCCCAGGGTGCCGGGATCGAGTCCCTGATCGGGCTCCCTGCATGGAGCTTGCTTCTCTGCCTGTGTCTCTGCCTCTCTCTCTCTCGCTCTCTGTGTGACTATCATAAATAAATAAAAATTAAAAAAAAAAAGAAGGGAAATAAGAACAGAATTCAGAGAAGGCAAACACATCAATCCTCCCCCTGAAATGTTCTGTGCAAACAGCGTTTGCAGGCCCTTCCCATAAAAGCCTCTCCAAAGGTCGCAGCAGCCCCTCCAGGTAGGAGGAAAGCAGGGAGCAGAGCAGAAGCAGCAGGGACACGGAGCGGGCGAGCTCTCGGCGCCCCCTGACCTGCTGCTTGGCGTTCTCCACCTCCGCTGTCAGCCTCTGGATCAGGCGGTTCAGCTCGTGCAGTTCCTCCTTGGTTCTGCGGAGGCTCTCACCCTGCTGGCTCACTGTGGCTTTCATCTCCTCGCACTGCGGGTTGGGAGACCAACATTGAGAAACAGCCGATGGTTGAGACACTGCTGGAGGGGGTGCTAGGCTGTCACTACGGGGTCCCAGCCCGCTGTTCCCGCCTCCGCCCCCCGCTCTGCTTGGGCCTCTGCTGTAGCCCCATGAGTGCATGGCTGTGCTTCCCAGGGAAGCTCCGGGTTCTGGCTATCCTCCCTGCCTGACGGGCAGCCGGCCCTCCAGTTCACCTTGGTTTGGTACCAGGACTCAGCCTCGGCCCGGCTGCGGCTGGCGACATCGTCATACTGAGCCTTGATCTCGGCCACGACCGAGTCCATGTTGAGCTCCCGGCTGTTGTCCATCTTGACCACCACCGAGGTGTCAGAGATTTGTGAGTGAAGAAGGTAGATCTCCTGTAGGAGACAGCAACCAGTGCCCTCAGCCCCAAATCCCCCTCTGATTCCCATCACTGTAGGTTAAAAACCTATCTGAAGCTTCAGGAAATAAATAAGAAAATTTCAGAGGGGAATTATAAGAGAAAAGGCTGAAATTTGGACCATGGCCTCAAGGCAAACAAGGTGGAATTCCATTAAAGCCTGGATCAACAGAGGCAGATTTCTAGGGATAGAGACAGAGGGGATCCCTCCACCTGGGGCCCCAACTATCCCAATCAGCTGTAGCTATCCGTATAAATCTGATCAACCAGATAATGGACAGATTGAGATTTCTGGGTTTTCTAATTAAGTTTTCACATCACCTGAATTAATAAGCTATTATTTTCTCTACCTATACCTATATGGTCAAATCTCCACTTCGTGTTGCATTGTGTAGCCAGGCAATGAATCATCATCTTTCAAATCATTTTAAAGGAAGGTCATCACCCTCTTCCATTTTGCAAAGAGGCCTGAGCAAGAGAAAAATCTCCTCTGGTCACAGAAGGAGAGGGTGTTTAGGCCCTAGAAGAGTTAGGGATGGACAACGCTCTCTAGAGCCAAGGGGCCAAGACAAGCCACAACCCAAGAAACCGTCCACCTTCCCCTCCCTCACTTTCTCTTCTGGAGCTGGGGAGAAACTCACCTCCTCGTAGAGGGCCTGCAGGAAGGCCGTCTCCTCCCTCAGCACCTCCACATTGGCCTCCAGGTCAGCCTTGCGCAGGTAGGCAGAGTCTATGTCCTGGTGGACACACATGGGAAAGGATGGAACATGGGGTCACCCGGTGCCCCTGGACCTCTGCTCTCTCTAGGGGACCCTGAGACCATGTTCTGGCTCACTCTTCTCCTACCACAGAAACATCCGTGGGATCACCGAGGAATAGGGAGTGAAGTATGACCCCTACAGACTTTTTTCTGATTCCTGCAGAATTGGAGGTCTTTCCGAAGCAGGTAGCCTAATATCACAGGCCAAAATGTCAGACTGCTACCACGAAGCCAGCCTGGCCCACGGAGCATGACCGTGTGGTGGCCGCTGAGCCACGAGTGCGCCGCCCCAGCAAGTTGTCCTTGGCACCCAGGTCAGGTGCCACCCAAGTAGCTGGCTCTCCGCGTGCTGCTGTCTGCTCTCTGTAGACTCCCTGATGAGCCACCATGGTCACTTTTAAATCAATTTCACTCTCGTAGGGACACTGCCAACCGCCTGGCCTCCATTTGTCAGGGGACTCGAGTGCCGGGCCACCATGACTAGACTGGTACAATCGTGGCGAGTCTCAGAGGCCCAGCATCCAAGATTTCATTCCTCCCCACGTGGAAAGAGTCACTCACCTTCTTCAGCACCACAAATTCGTTCTCGGCGGTGGTCCTGAGGGCCACCTCCTCTTCATACCTGAGGAGAGAGAGCACAGGTGGAGAGGCCCCTGGGGAGGAGGGCTTTGGGCCGGCCAGGAGCCCTAGGTTTTCAAGACTTGTGTGCCTTGGGAGAAGAGACTTGGCCTCTCTGGACTTCTATTTTTCAGTCACAAAGAAGCCACCAAAAGGACACTGGACATGGAGCTCAAGGCCCTGGTTTCGGGTCCAACCTTGGACTGAAATTGCTGCAAAACTCGGGCAAGTCATTTAGTCTCTCTGCATCTTGGGCTAAATTGGCTGGTGTGCAGGAAGTTTCTCTGGACATATTCGTGGGATGAGTGGAAGACAGATACTCCAAGGGGTCTTTCTTTTTTTTTTTTAATTTATTTATTTACGATAGTCATACAGAGAGAGAGAGAGGCAGAGACACAGGCAGAGGGAGAAGCAGGCTCCATGCACCGGAAGCCCGACGTGGGATTCGATCCTGCGTCTCCAGGATCGCGCCCTGGACCAAAGGCAGGCGCCAAACCGCTGCGCCACCCAGGGATCCCCCAAGGGGTCTTTCAAGCCGAAAACTGTACAAGACATAAAGCTCCACGAAGCCATCCCCGTGATGTTCTCTTCCCTCCCCCCCACATCAAGGACTTGAAATCCTGGAAGCTCCCCACTGTGCCCAGGCTGCTGGAGGGGCACTTCCACAGCCCTGCCCCACCACCCGGCACTTTCTCTTGCTCCTGCCCAGGCCATTCCTGCCGCAGCCCTGCCCGGCCGACAGGGAGGAGCAGAGTTCCCACCACACGCTTTCCATAGCTTTATATATATATATATATATATAATAAATTTATTTTTTATTGGTGTTCAATTTACCAACATACAGAATAACACCCAGTGCTCATCCCGTCAAGTGCCCCCCTCAGTGTCCGTCACCCACTCACCCCCACCCCCCGCCCTCTAGCTTTTTAATGACAGAGTAATCTGGGCTGCTATAAATTCTGTGCTGTGTGATTACCAGCCCTCACATGTCCTGGGCTGGGAGACGGACCTTGCCACCTCCAAACAGAATTGCGTCTGCATTTGCATCCCCCCGAGGAAAGTTGTAAGCTCGTCGCCGGGCCCATCTGGATGGTAAAACCTCATCTCCCAAGATCAGAATTCCAGTTACTTCCAGTTAGTATGACCAGGACCGACTATGGGAGAATCACCCTTCTCTCTGTCCATATCTAGCAGATAAGGAGGAGCAAATTAGGGGTGACCCAGTGAGTTTAAACTAGATGATGGCCAAGCCAAACTGTCAGGTTAAAATGAAAGATTTACATGGGCCTTTGAATCGAGGAGCCTTGCAGAACCAGAGCCTGGAGATTTATCTACAGAGCAGAAGAAAGATTAGAGAATTATCCAAGCTCGTCAGATACCTCGAATGGCATGGGCCAGATCACCTTCCAGATATCTCCCCAGGGACCTTTCCTCTGTGCCCATCCTAGCACGGACTGCCCCCAAGTTTTCTCCTCCAGCCCAGTGATCTCGATCCTCCCAGATTGCCGTTCCTCCCTCTCGGTCTCTGGGCCGCTCCGTGCCCTCCCAGACTGGGAGCAGCTCTTCTCCCCAGGTATCTCCTCATTCCCCAGGATGGGGCCCCAAAAGCTGAGTGCCAAGACCAGATGGAGCAGGCTGATGAAACGGAACATCTGAGTGCTAGCCGGCAATGACCCTGCCCTGCCGCCATCTCCACCTCCGGGAGAGTCGGGTGGACCCAGCCAAGAGCTGCCCCATACCCGTAACTACCCCTGGCCAGGCCGCACTCACTTCTTCTTGTAGCCCTCCAGCACCTCCTGGACGTGGTTGAGCTCGGAGGCCAGCCTCCCACCGTCGGCCTCCACGCACTCGGCCTCCCGCCTCAGCGTCTCGAGGTAGCCCTGGAACAGGGGCTCCAGGTTGCTCTCGCAGCACTTGCGGTTCTGGTAGAACTGCCACTTGGTCTCCAGCAGCTTGTTCTGCTGCTCCAGGAAGCGCACCTGCCACCCGGGGTGGAGGAAAAAGACTCAGGGGGAGCCCAGAGAGGTGCCCAGGATCCCAGAGCCCTCTCTGTCCTGGCGGATGGCCCCTGACCTGCAGCAGCTACCTGTGACCTCCCCCCAAAGGCCAAATCATTTGGCAAAGCCTGAAAATGCAGTTCCCGACTGTTCCCCCAGTCGTGTTCCCTCATCCTCTCCCCATCTCCCAGTAGAGCACACTATCTGTGATGTGTTTCTTCTGCGCAGAATAAAATAACTTCTGATCCTGCAAAAAACACCCTAGATCGTACACGGAGTGGGGAGCCAGAAGCGGCCCCCCAAAGATGTTCACATCCCAATCCCTGGAACCTGGGAATATGTTCTATTTTACGGCCAAAGGGACCGTGCAGGTGGAATTTAGTTTACGGCGCTGAAGATCAGGAGATCTGGAATTATCCAGGGGGCCCCAAATGGGCCTCTTAAAGTGGAAGCAGAAGGCAGAGGAGTGGAGAGATGCACAGAAGGGAGAGATGGAGGAGAGACTTAGAACCTGAAATGGCCTCCACCACCATCACCAGCTTTGGAGGCGGAGGGAGAAAGGGCCTGAGTCAGGAATGCCAGGGGCCTCTAGGAACAGAACAGGCTCCAGCAGCAAGCCAGCAAGGAGACAGGGACCTCAGTCCCACAGTCACATGGAACTCAACGCTGCCCAAAGCCTGCATGTCCCTAGACACGGGTCTCCTCTAGGGCCTCCGGAGAGAAATGCAGCCCTCCCAACACCTAGATTTCGGCCTCACAAGATAATAAGTTCGTGTTGTTTTAAGCCACTACATTTGTGGACATCTTTATGGCAGTGATTTTTAAATGCACCCACCAGGACTCTCCCTCACTCTGGCCCTGGGGCATGAGAGCCCCGCTGGGAGGCCCCGGCCCAGGAGTTAGGAGACCTCCCACGGGCTGACTCCGCCACTAACCAGGCCCGTGCGCCTCGTTCTCTCTGAGCCTCAGCGGCAGTGCATCAGCAATCGCACACTGGCAGGCCCCAGGCTCTTTCTGCCCCGCAGGCGTGTTTCACTTGGCCTACAAGCTGCTTTATTGAAATCTAACTCATTGCCAACATTTAATAATCGAGTCATTTCAGACAAGAATCTGGACCTCTGTGACCTTGACAAACCAGAAGCTCAGGCAATGCTGGGCCTGGGTCTGGAGGTAAGTCACAGCAGCTGCCCCTGCAGGCAGGCGTGCATCTCAGCCCGGCGTTATTCATGTCCTGCCAAGCCCCATGCCCTTGCCAGCTCTACGCTACGTGTCTCCTCCCAAGCCCTAACCTTCTGGGAGCACAAGCCTGGTATAAAGCAGCCCTCCATTGCCCATTGTGTGGGAAAAGAAACCAAACCCCAATTAACCAAAGGCAACTGCCCTGGGTTGCCATTGCAGGTCCACTCTCTGGCTTGCCGGCTCTGCAGGCTTAAACCCACCCGGGCAATACACTTTGCACATGCTGAGGAGGTGGGGGCTGCCGGCCTCCCCGGGGGAGGGAAAGCCAGCCTGGGGCAGCAGCCTGAGGCTCTCTTCAGACCGGAACTCACTGCTCACAACAGAGTCTGCATAGCTGGGTGCTGCCCAGAAAGCCATGCGGGGAAAAGGGGCCACTCCAAGCAGACGCAGCCTCCTGCCGGGGCACACGACCCGGTGAGCAGAGCGCGGGCTGGATTTCAATCCCCACCACCCCCCACCCTCAACCAGCGCCCTTAGTGCGTATCCTTGTGAAACGAACACCCCGCATGATGCACTGAGGGTAAGGAAGAGCCAGCTTCGTGTTAAGAATCCACGTATGGCACCTTCGCTTGCAAGATCCTTATCTGTGATGGTGGCACTTATCTGAGAGCAAAGCTCCCACGCACCATCACTCTCGCGTGTGGCCACTCATAAAGTCCCTGGGTGCAGATGCACACGCCATTCAGCCCTAGAGTCTTCAGTGGCTGTCCTCCCCCGGAGAGGCTCTCGCATGGGGTACCACTGAGTCAGAGGAAGCCAGAGCTCTGCATCCAACCCGAAGGTGGGCTCAGAGACTGCAGCAACAGGAAAGGTCAGGTCAACAACCCCTCTTGGGGCTTCCTCTTAAGTTTCTCAAGTCACTGTCTTTAATCTGTGTCAGTGTTGGGTGAGGAAGGGTGTAGGGACTGAGAACTCACGGCCTGCAGATGGACCATGTCCCCATTGGAAGGAGCAGGACCGGAGCTTCCGGGCCCTCATCATCCTGGCTCCCCTCTCTGCCCTGGGGATGGGGGCATCTCCTCCAGCAGTGGGGTCAGACACGGGCCTGGCCGCGCCCGGCACCCCCACCCCGTCCCCGTCCCCGCGCGCTGGCTGAGATCCCGGAGATGGGGTCACAGACACACACTCAGCTCCTGCTGGGCAGGGAAGCAGCACAATCAACTTCCCGTTCTGCGCGGTGCTGTCACACCCACTGCTGATGGCCTTTGACTCTGCTCCTAACACTGGGAAACCGAGAGCTCCATTCAGTTACGTTCTCAAGGCCGCGTGCTGACGGGTAGTGGGCTGGGCCCTCGGGGAACATGAACCCAGCTCGTCATCGGGTTCGAGTCCCCTGCCCGCTCCTGTGCCTCAGCCCCAGGGAGCGACCCGCAGACCCACCTTGTCGATGAAGGCGGCGAACCTGTTGTTGAGGCACTTGATCTGCTCCTTCTCCTGGTGCTTGACGCACTGCGCGTTGGGGTCGATCTCCAGGTTGAGGGGCGTCAGGAGGCTCTCGTTGACCGACACGCTGGTGATGCAAGGCGGGCTGGGCCCGCAGAGGCCCCCGACCCGGTAGCCGAAGCTGCTCCTGCCGCGCACGGGCCACCCGCAGCTCACCGCCGTCCGCGGGGACCCCACGGCGCACAGGCTCCGGCTGCCGAAGCCCCCGAGGCGCCTGTAGCCCCCGCGGGACGCCACCACGGCCCCCGAGCAGCTGCGGGCCGCGGGCTTGGGCAGCACCGCGGAGCAGGCGCTGAAGTCCCTGACCCCATAGCCAGAGCCCACGCGGTAGGAGCGGGTCGTCATGCCTCCGCTGCGCAGGGCGGCCCAGGGGAGGTGGACGGGCCCGAAGACGCAGGCCTCCTGCTGGAGACCTGGCAGCGCCTCTGCCTTTTATGGGGCAGGAAGCAGGCCTCCCAACAACATGAAAGGCAGGAGAAAGTTATTAACGCCATTTACGAGCGTGGGAATCTCCCGCTAGGCAGACGGAGAAGCAAAGCCGAAACTTGCCTCCTATAATAAGCATGTGGAGGAGACCCCGCGTCACAATAAACCTGCCCCCTGCCTTTTCCGTCCCACAGGCCTAGACACGGCTCTTCGGCCCCTAATTCCCCTCCCACCTGTGAGTCCACCTGCCATCATTATCCCACACAGGCAAGCGGGGGCTTGAGCTGGCACATCCTGGATGCCAAGGGTCCCGTGTCCCACAAGGTCGACGGGCCCGTCCTTCCAGGCAGGCCGCACGTTCCCCTCCATAAGGCTGCCAAGGGATGCTTGGCTCATCTTTCCAGGGCGAGTCCTTGCGGAGTGAACTCTTCACGACTTCCCTGCTGCGGCGTTTCCTATATTCTGTCTCAGAGTAGGGTCACTGGCCTTGGCATAGGCCCCTTGGTGCAGAAAGCAGGTGCAGCCTTCGTGGCAACTGACACACAGTCGACCGTCAGGGAGCATCGCCGGAGCTGAGTAGACTGGACGCAGGAAGGAAGGGCCAACAGCCGGAGAGCGTCTTCACCTAGTCCACAAATACTGACCGTCCTGGCACCGTGTGCCGGGCCCAGGAGCTGTCCCGGGGGAGGTGCCTTCATGCACAGGCAAGTGCTGAGGCCCCACGAGAACAAGGCCCTGAGCAGCTGCGGAGGAAAACAAAGCGGGACAGCGCTCGGCCCCTGGAAGGACCTGGATCTCCAGGGGACGTCAGACTGAGGCCGGAGAGATCCGTGGCAAGAACGGGAAAGACAACCGAGTAGGTAAAGGGAACGCTCTTGGCTTTCTGAGGAGGCCCACTCGTGGCAGGTGGAATGTCACAAAGGAGGCGAGACCTGAGGCAGGTCCTGGAAGACGACGAGATGTAGCAGAGAGAACAGAAGCAGGGGCGCCCGGGAGAGCCGCTGCGCAGGCCTGGCAACCGGAGACATGGCCCCGTTCCTGAGATCCTCAGCAAAACCAAGCTCTCAGCTGGGGCTGCTCGCCCCCAGCCTCCCACCCTGATGGTACAGGTGTCACGCCCTGTCACGCCCTGGAAGGGCAGGGTGGAAACGGGACCCCATGGGAAAAGCCCCTGCCTGCACCCCCGACTATAACGAGGCCCAAGGCCAAGCAACCCAGTCCTCTGAGGCAAGCCCTCGTTATAGGGAATCTCTGCGTATGAAGACAAGAACAGGAATGGTCTTCCAGGACTCCTGCTCGGGGGAACAGGCTTGGGAGGGGCCATAAGAAAAGAGCCAAACAAGACAAGAGAGGATGGGGAGGGTCTTTCTGTCTGACCCACAGGCTGGCTCCAGCTCACGCACACACGCCTCACAGCCGGGGGACACGGAGGGCAGAACCGGACCCAATGTGGGGAGTGTAAGGGTGGAGGCAGAGGCAGCAGGACCCGCCCCGGGACCACGGCTCTGAGAGGAAGTGCTTGTTTCTGCCCCTGGAGGACAGAGCCCCAGCGCTGAGCCAAGTCACGGGGCGACGGGCTGGGAGACACCCCATAAACCGAAGTCCTGCAGAACCAACTTGCCGCAGCCTTGAACTCTTGTGACCACAGAAGCACAGCTCCCACAGTGACCCCAACCAGTGGGACGGGGAGCTGAGAGAGCTCCTCCGGGGCGGGCAGGCCCAACTAGGGAAGCAGCCCAGGAGCCAGGACCCAAAGCCGATGCTCTTGAAGGGCCTGGCTGGGCATTCTTTGCTTCTTTGCATTCATTCAACAAGTATTCACCGAGTACCTACCAAGTGCCGGCCACCATTCCATGAGCTTGGGATAAATCAACGAGTGAAACACACAGAGATGTACGTCTTCATGGGCTCCCATCCCAGTGAGAGAGATCGGCTATAAACTTGGGAAGCACGGCCGTCGTATATTTGATGGGGATACAGGTCGTACGAGGAAGAGATAGAACAAGGATGGGGACTCAGGAGAAGTGAGAGAAAGATGGGGTCCAACTTGAACAGGGTGGTCTGCACTGGCTGCCCCGAGAAGGGGACGTGGAGCAAAGGTTTTGAGGAGGTAAGGGGACCAGCCAGGGCAAAGGCCTGAGGTAGAAACAGGTCCGGGTCTGAGTCAGGAGGCCTGTGGTTTGAGCAGAGAGAGTGAGGAGTCAGTTTGGTGAGTTTGGGGGACACAGAGAGGGAGGGGAGCACCAGTGGGGCCCTGTGGGACCGGCCTGTTCCTCGCTGCGCCCTGCTGCTTACCTGCATGTGCCCGAGCTGCCTCTGGTCCCAAACACTGCATGGGAAAAAGAAAGAGCCAACTTATTTTGGTGCCTTTGGAATCAAAAGGACGTGGCCCACCTTCACACTGGGTCGCCCCAGAGCGCGCAGGAAGGCTTGGAGGAAGGCTGCCCATGCTCCAGGGCCAGCTGGACCCAAGTGTGGGGTCACCTCGGGAGCAGTTCCTGCTGCCTCCTCCAAGAGGGGGATGCCTCACATGGATATTCCCAAAGACAGAGAACTGGGTTAGGCTAGTTCATCAGCACCCCATTCAGAGCACCCCTGCCGGGCAGTCTCTCATCAAGCCTGGCTCGCTCCCCGAGAACCAGGCTGGCCGCGGTACCTTTGGCCCAACTGCAAATGTCTGGCCTAATCTTGCTAATCTTGGGGCACGAAGACCAGCGCCTGGGACCTCTTTGTCCAGAAGGGCCTACATTCCGGTGGAGGGTGGGGGGGTGGGGAGAACTTCCAGGATTACCAAATGCGTTCCTGTATTCCTGTATCCTAAAGAAAGCTGACTGCGCAAAGAAAAAAAAAATGCAATGGCTCTAGTGATGTATCCCCAAGATGGGAGCACCGAGCAGGGTGGGGAAGCAGCGCGCGCTGATGGAAAGCGAACTTCATCTCCGACGTCGTTTAGAACTGCTCCTGCTGGGTGATCGTAAAAACAAACGGATTTTGTTGTTGTTGTTTTTTGGGCTCTCTACCCAAAAAAATGCACCCCTACGGCCTCCACTCAGGGTGGACAGGTCCCACTGCACCCCCCCCGCCACCCCTTGCCGTGCATCACTAATGGCTCAGATATCTTCAGAGGTTATTCCTTGCTCACAAGACACCGCTGAGGGTGTAGACTGGTGGGCAGGACAGCTTGGACAGCTTCCCTCCACGCGTCACTCAGAGACCAAGGCTCTGATACCTGGCGTGATTACTCACCCCTCTGCATGTGGAGAACAAGCCTTCGGGTGTAGGATATTAGACGATCCACCAGAGGAGAACTGGGGATCTTCTGCTGTGGGGCCTGGAGAGTAGAGGGCTGTACTACATGGTCTTTTCTGTTTTGCCTCCAGCTTAATGATACTTGTTTTTCTTACTGCTATCACCAACATGGTGAGGGTGTTCCCCCCCAAAAAAAAATCCAGAAAGGAGGATCTTGGCTTGAATCTTCTGCTGTGCTCAGCCCCTGAAGGAGAACTGGCAATGCCCGGCCAGATTCTCCAGCTAGAAAACCGCCAGGGCTGGGGGCTTGGGAGGCCCCTGTAAAGAGAGCACATGGCTACGGGGGACCCTGCTCACAGCCAGCCCAGGCTGCCCTGCCTGGCTTTCGTCTTTGGCAGCAAGGCCTTCCCTAGTACGTGAAGGTGTCTGGGAAGGGTATCACGGCCACACAGGTTGATGCTCTGTGCTCTCTAGAGGCCGGGGGAGCAGGGTGGCCACTGAACACCCACTTCCTCGTCATCTGTGAGTCCCTGGCCCAGTACGTCCACTCATCCATTCATTCAGCAATTGCTTATCAAGCACCTGGGAGCCATGCATGGTTCTGGATGCCGATGGCACCTACCTGGGCAAAAGCCAGTCCCTGCCCTCCAGTGGCTCACAGCCTGCTGCGGGAAACCCAACGTCCGTGGTACAGTGTGGTAACAGACACGAGCAAAGATGCCAAACTCCTTTTCAAGGAAATGGTCCCTGAACTAAGTCTGGAGGTGCCCAAAGCCAGGAGACAGTGTGTCAGAGGTATGGACAGACACCCAGCTGGCCGAGTGTGGCCGGAGGGCAGGGCGTCCCCTGCAGAGTGACGAGGAGGGAGGCAGGACAGGGGCTTCCCCCAGTCCTGTCAACAGCACAGTTTTATCTGCCGGTGCCTTAGAGGGGCAGGCGGGTTGGGCTGCGCGGTGACGGATGGAAGGGCGGGAAGAAGGCGGCTGGATGGACGATCTGACCAACTAAGAAGTGGGGTAGGGACGCCTGGGTGGCTCAGGGGCTAAGCGTCTGCCTTCGGCTCAGGTCGTGATCCCAGGGTCCCTGCATGGAGCCTGCTTCTCCCTCTGTCTACGTCTCTGCCTCTCACTCTGTGCCTTCCATGGATAAATAAATAAAATCTTTAAAAAGAAGAAGGAGGAGGAGGAGGGGGAGGAGGAGAAGGAGAGGAGAAGGAGGAGGAGGAGGAAGAAGAGGAGAAGGAGGAGGAGGAGGAGAAGGAGGAGAAGGAGGAAGAAGAAGAGGAGAAGGAGGAGAAGGAGGAGGAAGAAGAGGAGGAGGAGGAGGAGGAGGAAGAAGAGGAGGAGAAGGAGGAGAAGGAGGAGGAGGAGGAGAAGGAGGAGGAGGAGGAGAAGGAGGAGAAGAAGGAGGAAGAAGAGGAGGAGGAGGAGGAGGAAGAAGAGGAGGAGGAGAAGGAGGAGGAGGAGGAAGAAGAAGAGGAGGAGGAGAAGGAGGAGGAAGAAGAGGAGGAGGAGGAGAAGGAGGAGGAGGAAGAAGAAGAGGAGAAGGAGGAGAAGGAGGAGGAGGAGGAGAAGGAGGAGGAAGAAGAGGAGGAGGAGAAGGAGGAGGAGGAGGAAGAAGAGGAGAAGGAGGAGGAGGAGGAGAAGGAGGAGGAAGAAGAGGAGAAGGAGGAGGAGGAGGAGAAGGAGGAGGAAGAAGAGGAGGAGGAGAAGGAGGAGGAGGAGGAAGAAAAGGAGAA